CCTCAGCCGCCCTTCCCTGGGCGCTGCGCTGCTGTCACGGGGGCCTCAGGCACCACAGCCCCTCAGCATCCCTGTCTCAAGCTTCATTTGATGCTTGCTGCTGAACTGAGAGATTTTAATCTTTTAATCATGTTATGAGCCGAGGTGGTGCCGGCCACGCACAGGAGGAATGTCTGGAAGTCAGCAGTGCCCAGCACGGCAGGAGCCTGTCCTGCCCCCACCCGCACGTCCCTCCGTGTCCTGCTCAGGGACCCCCGTCCTCCCCAGCCTGCCTCGCCCTGCCTGGGACCAGGACTGGGACCAGGAGCAGAACCTGGGACCAGAGACCAGAACCAGGCATCAGGGACCACGGACCAGGACCACAGCCAGGAGCAGGACCAGGAGCAGGATAAGGACCAGCTGGTGATGGGCTGCTGGGGCTGGAGCTCCCGGCCACATGCACATCTGCCATGCGTCCCTGCGGGCAGCAGTGGGAGCGAGGGAGGTTTCCGCATGTCCCAGGGCCCCTGGGTCCAGCTGCAGGTGCAGCAGTGCTGCCACGGGGATGGGCTGGCTGGGCTGCAGGCGGGGAGCGTCAGAGCAGGCACTCGGGGGCATTCCCATGGACGTAACCCGAGGTGTGATTCCCTGACATATAAGAGCAGAGAAAGGGGATCGGGGTGATTTTAGATTGAGAAAAAGGCGTGGAGCGGCGGGAGGTCCGGGAAGCCCGAAGGACCCAGCGCAATAACCCCACTGGCAAACAAAAGCCCCTTTGTTTTTGCTCACTGCTGGTGTTTTGCCGGTGGGGAATGGGGGGCTGCTGCCACAGTGCCCGCGCCCCAGCGTTTACAGTGCCGGAGCTTTTACAGCCCATGCTGCCACTGCACGGCCCTGCGCTGCCGAGAAACCCTCTTGGGGCTGCAGACTGCCGCTGGCTCACTGTCCCGCATCACCCTGCATCACCCCACATCACCCCCATCACCCCCATTGCCCCGTGTCGCCCCCTCCCCAGCTGCCCCTGTGCGCAGCTGCAGGTTTCAGGGGCAAGGCCAGGGGAACGGAGGGAGAACATATTTCATGCAACGTCTGTCATGTGGGCATAATTAAAGCTTCTCGTTATCACGGCGTTAGCGGCAGCGAGGGGCGCGCTCTCAGGGGCGCCTTTGCAGGAGCCCCCACAGCTGCACCTCGGTGGCGCTGCCCCCCGCCATGCGGGTTCAATGACTCCCTTCCCTGTCTTTTCTTCCGAGGGGTGCAGAGGGGCGTCGCGCAGCCCAGCCCGGCGCAGCGAGGCAGCGCAGCGCCCATGCAGCGCCACCCCGCGAGCAACAACGGCGTGGGAGTACGA